GGTCTTTTTTCATCATGCATATATCTACCGTATGTAGTGAAATCACAAGGTTTTCAGAGAACTTTAAGGAAGTCCTCATACAAAGAATGTCATTGCATTCCGAATGCTTTGAAAAACGTAAGCATGCTATGCATGCAGGAGTTATTTTTTGGGGGGGTAGGTGGATTACTTGAAACATTGTAAGTGATGTCTACATTCTTACAAAAGGAAAGAAGAGTATTAACGCGGTATTAAAGTAAGTAATATTAAGTATTAAAGTGTCGAATTAACTCACACACAGGTATTTGTGGTAGATTGTGTGCGTTGTGCGAATAACTGTAACCAAAACTAAACTGTACTGGTACCACGAGACTGAGAATCTAAAGAGTTTTTTCGTCTGGTATGTGATAACGTTTCATCTTACAACTTACCGAGCGTCACGCAATCGCTTTTCTGTGATCAGCTTTCACGATTATCTGCACTATTGTGGAATATTCCTGGCCCATTTCTTGATCAAAATCGATCTTAATATAAATTAAGCCTTCATGTAGTCTTCTCATTTTGCGCGCAAGTTGGTTGGTGTGATGTCTGTACAGATTTTACTAACGTAATAAAAGTAGATGTAAATGAGATGTCACTATTGAATATTTTTAAATATTGTAAAAAATAAAAAAATATATTAAAATAAAAAAAAATATTGTAAATATTGTTAAAACACGCACAACATTCGAGAAACAACTGACAGTTTTGCACGTGGTCCGTATTATCATCTTTTTAAGCGGTATGTGTTTATTTTGTTCACAAAAATGCGGACCGAGACCAAATTGTTCCTTCGACTTGATATATTTTCAACGTTTGTGGATCACATCATATTAACTTACCTCCGTAAATCATTCATTCCAGATAACAAAATCAAAGAAACATGCTAACGATGGTATCTGAACTAGTCCTTGGCCAAACACAAACGACTCCACAAGACCACTTTCTCCAGGCATCGAAAACATACTCAAAATCGTCCACAGTTAACTTTAATCAGACATTCATCTAGGGATAGCACCGAGCAAATCAATCCAGAAAAATATAAAATTTAATCCTGCTACGCAGCTTGCAGTTAAGAACTGTTCAAATCAAAATGTTTGGTGCAATTCATCAACACCTCAAGTAATATTTGATTAAAATTTTTCCACTCTATCTCGTCGTGAAGGAACAATAACCATGATCGTGCTACAGTGCACAGAACTCCATTTTCTCTCGAACAACTATCCACCATTTTCACAGCATGAGTAACACGTTTATTATGGGTAATCTGATATCTTTCATCTGTCCAGTAGTATCGCATTTTTCTCATAAAGCGCGGTAAAATACACGTTAAAAACACAGAAAAGCCAATATTTCTCATTCTAAAAGGTGATTCTATTTTACGAACCGCTCTCTCCGAATCCCCCATTACTTCGTTGAAATTTGAACACCTCAAATCAAAGAACAAAAACGACGCTCTAATTGGTGCGAGATACATACCCTAATGCGGCGATCTGATTGGCGCGAGATACATACCCCAAACGATCTGATTGGTGCGAGCAACATGCCACTCTCTATACGCTAACATAGATGTTATTTTAAAAAAAACCTCAATTATGGCTTTATTTTCATGAGGGTCAATGCTATCACTTATTTTGGACCCTATTTATACGTAATCAGTATTATAAGAACTTTGTTGGGTGGAAAATGTAAACTTACGGTTACTAACAGATACGTTTTCATCATACTTTGAAGTTTGAAATTAGCAGATCAGAGCTCCTTTCGAAATACTGATTCCATGAATGAATTTTTGGTGTAGCAGAAGAAAGAAAAGTAACCCCAGATGGTGAAAATAATTTACTTTTATCCTCCTTAAGTTGTCATCTTTGCCGGGCCGTGAAAATATTCGAAGAGATGATGAGAAAGGAAGGATGTGACTGAGAAACTTTCATTCCAGCAAGGATGCTTTATTATCTCTTCGTGCAATTTCAATTTTCATAGCATGAAAAACATTTGACAATACTTTTCATTTCATTTTTTACATGCAAGGCGTAGTTGGCGGTTTTTTGGGGAGCGCTTGAGCAAGTTACGACGCCGCAAGGGGATTGAAAAACAGAGATTCGCGCTCCGTGAGCGAAATAGCTTCACAAAGTGATCGCGTGACAAAAGAAAGGTCAAATCAAATGAAATCTGTAAAAACCTCAAAACATGGTGAATAAGAAAGTTGCCATGCTCCCCCATGCACCGTCACCACCTTTCCTGCTCGGAGGAGTAGCAGTTCTCCAAGTTGCCTCTTGGAGAGTAAACTTGGAAAAGGTATGACCCTGTGGCTGGTCGACCCGAAGATACACGTTTAACA